AAAACTCGATATTATTAAGTTATCTGGAAAAATATTGTCTAGAATATATCCAAATCCTTGTATGGAAATAGATTCCGATGATGAATATATCGGAGACGGAGAAACTATTAATCAGGGCAATGCTTTAAAAGAAGCCATGGAAAAATCAATTCATAGGTTTCTTGAGGAACCTGAAGAAATAATATCAAATTCGAAGACACTGAAGGCCGAATTTTCAGTATTTGAGGCAACCAACAAAAGAACAAAGAATTTGGATTTATTATTTGATGCCCTGAAAACGATAAAACCAAGTTCAGTAGCCAGTGAGAGAGTATTTTCCATTTCAGGCAATTTTGTATCTAGAATAAGAACAAGATTAAGTAATCGTTCAGTGGACATTTTATGTTTTTTGACATCATATTTCTTGAAGAAAAATACTAAATGAAATAAAAATTTATAATTTATATTTCTAACGGATTTTAGTTTTCTTTTATTTGGTTTTGTATGGAGTATATTTTATTTTGTTATATTTTTGTAGTTCCATAAATATTAAATAAAATGAATAATTTTAAGATAAGTATAAATATTTATTTACTGTTTTAATTATATTTAGTTTTTTTTGTAAAAATTCGAAAACAGTTTTTTTCAAAAGTCGGTTTTTGTTTAAACCCTAGTTACTCAGACACAAAAGGGGACTTTTTAATTTTATAGGACAGGTATCGCATTCCCTATTCGGAGTATTAGATTCAGACAACGAAGAGTCTTACAACAATAAAATCAGAGAGCTTGAAGGAGAGCAGCTTGACCTAATAAATAGCAGGAGAGCAAATGGTAGTTGTTAGATCAACTCTGAAATCAGTTAATAAAACCCTAAATGATGTTTCTAGTAACGAATTGATTTAGAAAAGGGGATTAACAGAGATAAGGGAATTTATCAATCAGGAAAATGGTGAGATAAAAGAGAGTATAAGTACACCTCCATGTTGGTAGCATTAAACGACCATGCTATTCAGTTACAGCGAGCTTTGGAAGAAGTAAAGGATGAATACAATGTCTTAATCCAGTCGTGCCTAAACGCAAAACAAGGGATCATGCAGCCACAGATATTGTCACCAAGTCATTTGATTGAGATTTTGGAAACCAGTCAGGATAGCTTTCCCCGCGACTGACAAGTACCTGTTACAATGAGCGAAGCTTACCTGTACCAATTAGTTAATATCGTAAACATAGAAGTGTATATTGTAGGACATAATCTTATATATGTGGCGAAGGTGCCATTAGCAACGCATTATGTATTTGATGTGTATAAGGTTTTACCATTTCCCATGAAGGTTAAGGACACAGCTAACAAATTTACATTTATCCAGCCTGAGAAAGAATATGTCATGCTGGACACCACTAAACAATATTATGCAAGATTACATCAGAATGAGTTAAGTGTATGCAGAAAGGTAAATGATGACAGATTAGTATGCAAGCAAAATTTTCCTTTGCAAATCAGTCACTCAGCAAATGATTGCGAGGCCCAAATGTTACAACCAATTAAGAGTCATACCAAAGAGTTGCACACAAAGAATTTTAGAATTAAGAGAAACGCTTTGGACACCGCTCAAGGACAATTCATGGAAATACGTAGCACCTTCAACAGATCAACTGACCGTCATTTGCCCTGACCAGAACACTTCAGAAATTGAAATAAAAGATGGCGGAATATTGACGTTTCTAGCGGATTGTACCGGATATGGTGAAAAGGTCATGATTAGATCCATCACGACGCATTATGTAAACAGCACGAGGAAAGATATTATCCCCCCTACAATTGGAAATTAGCAGATGCGAAAAGGAATTGCCCGTAATTAATCTGAATGAACTACTACTAGAGTCACCAATAAGGAACATACTTACGCATAACGACGAGTGGAAAGTAGCTAGTTATAAAATTAAGGACGTAGAAAAATTGATAAGGGATTAGGAATGGAAAATAAAAACATTCCGCAAGGACAACGCAGTTGTCGGTATTAGCAACTATTGGTTCTGTGGTATTAGGCTTACTAATCAGTATATTATGTTGTTGCTGCTGCTGCAAATGTTGCAGAAACTGTTGGCCGAGGTTTATGAAATGGATTACGAAAGCTGACAGTTGTGGAGCTATCATATTCAAACCTAGAATTATAAATAATGTACATGCATCTAATGAAAGTCTTCACAGACGGGGAATAACACTCAGCCTAGACACAAATGTGGACACAGCCGAGACGAGTGGTGAAGTTAACAGAATTAACTCCAATGAATGTTGTTGTAACCCCGAGATTGACCTGGTCCAGTAACACGATACCCACAGGTAAAAGGTAATGCCTACATGTTCAAAGATTGTCTAATAAAAGTCAAATTGTATTAGCTAATCTCCCTTAAGGAGGAATGTGTCGTTATCTGTGGGTCACGAACCACGTATTGAGAATGCAGTCTATTACTAAGCTATTATAAATCTGTTATTTGTGCTAATATTTGAGAGGTGTGAATTTGTGTTATGGAATCCAAAGAAGCAGAAACTGCGGTCGAAGGAAGTAAACACCCTGAATTTAACCTACATAGATTTAAAAGGCCAGAGGGCACGGAACCATGTACGTATGTTTACAAATACCCTTGAACTGGGAAAACATGTGATGTTGAGACCAAGACTCCCTGAGGCAGAGAAATTGAGAATATTTTGGTAACCTACGTCACGGGAATTCCTTTATTGAAGCATTTATATACCTCTCGAAAATCCAAGACTGGGAGAGTAACTACAATCTTTCAGCACAGGCAGTTACGCTGCACTCAAATTCGAATCTCTGCTCTTGATTCAAAATATTCTAGTTATAAGTTTTCGGAATTATAAAAAACTGCAAAAGAACAAGAATGGAAACAAACATGCACAGCATTATAAAACCTACTCCGCACTAGTGTTCATTACTTATTTTGTATGGATTATATCAACTGATAAGAGCATTGCAACACGCTGGAAAACAATTACATCAACAGATCGCCTAGGCCTATCCACGGAATCTAGTAGAACAGGCAACGTAGTTAACATTAGTATCAAAACCAGCATCGATAGTTTATCTACGAATCCTGAAGCAATCCCACTTCAAGACAAGCGAAACGCCTCTATGAGAGACGGCACCCCGGAACTTCGGAGGCCCCGGCGGTTAAATACTCCTAAATCATATTTCTAAGCCGAATCAAGGAGTAAATCGGTCTTTTTCTAAGAGGGGAGCCGAATCAAGGAGTAAATCGGTCTTTTTATAAGAGGGGACGTGTTGTATATGGCTTAATTATATATTTTTTTAAAACCATGCATACCGTGCAGTGCACTGGAATAATAAACACTCATGTATACAAACAAAACTGTTTACACTTAAAAGGACACTAATGCCAAACACGATTCGACCTCCAGATATGATGTGATATATATGTTGTAACCGCTCATCTGGAAGTAGTTTGGTTTTGTTAGTTTTTCTTTTGTGTGTGTTTCCAGTTTTCAAAACCTTTCTGTAAGATTTAGAACCATGCCGAGAACAAGGATGG